GCTACTAACTAATTACACAGGCCTGCGATGGTTTTATTGTATTGAACTTTTTACATGTTCTACAGGAATTCCTGTACGCTGAATCCAACAATGATATCCATTTTTCTCCACCACGTTCAGATTTTTCACAATACGGCATATGTACTTTTACATATGTGAATCATTTTCATTGAAATCGGGTCACATTTTGTTATGCTTAAAATGTTGACAACCATTGGCTATAGATTTCTCTAGACGAATTGCGACGTGAGAATCTTATCGATTGTTCCAAACATGATATTGAAAAATGTTCATTGTGGTAAACGAAATAATTTGATCTAAGTAAGAGTTTTCTTCTTCCCATTTCGTAAAAATTTTCGAAATCCACGTAGCTGAATTATAAAAAATCCGTTATTAAAACCAAAACAATTTTTGTGAAGTTTGAATTCGCAAGCCTGTGAAAATAAAATAGTAGAAATTTCGTCCGTTTATACTATTATAGTGCGTGAAAAAGGATTTCTTATAACGTGTCGCCATCTGTGTAAATCTATTTTAACTACATCTTATATTTTTACTAAGTACCGCGAAGTAAAATCTGACTTCGAGAAAATCTAAGTAATTTTTAAAGCTCTTCAAAGTAAAACAATTATACGAAGTACAGCCTAGAACAGATAAAAAACACAACAAAATATATTACTATTATCATAAATTGAAGACTACTACTGTTACTTAAACTATGCAATATATATCAATTCTTACATCAGTGATATTTTCAATTTTCACACCATACTTTACAAGAATTAACAAAAACTGAGAATGCTACCTTTCCTTGATATCTATTTTCCATTAGAAAATTGTTTTTTTCGTATTACACGTAAACACTGTTTTCATAACAATAACAAGTGGTTGTGGAACGAACAGCGTTCGACATGTTAATAGTTACGTGTGAACACTGCTGTTAGAACAATAACAATTGATTATGGAACGAACAGCGTTCAACATGTTAATAGCACATGTAAACACTGCTGTTAGAACAATAACAATTGATTATGGAACGAACAACACTCAACATGTTAATAGTACATGTAAACACTGCTGTCAGAACACTAACAAGTGATTGTGGAACGAACGGCGTTCCACATGCTAATAGTTACATGTCAACACTACTGTCAGAACAATAAATAACAAGTGATTGTGAAACGAACAGCGCTCACCATGTTAATGAATACATGTAAACACTGCTGTTAGAACAATAACAATTGATTGTGGAACGAACAGCGTTCAACATGTTAATGGGTACATGTAAACACTGCTGTTAGAATAATAACAATTAATTGTGGAACGAACAGCGCTCATCATGTACATGGATACATGTAAACTCTGCTGTTAGAACAATAACAATTAATTGTGGAACGAACAGCGCTCATCATGTTAATGGATACATGTAAACACTGCTGTCAGAACACTAACAAGTGATTATGGAACGGACAGCGTTCATCATGTTAATGGATACATGTAAACATTGCTGCTTTAAAGAGAAGCACTTCTGTCAGGACAAGTTTTTATGAAACAGAAACGTGTACTCTGTTGAGATATGCTTGCAACTTTCCTAAATATTTCATGAAACATTCGTAATATTCGTCTGTACAAGGCGATTCTATCAAATTAAATACATTATTCTTTCAGTACGTTACCACATTATTTCTAAAGCCAAGAAATTAGATATGTTTATTATGATAATAAACGGTGTTAAACAAAAGACACACGTCAATTAAGTTGCGTGATTTCGCCTTTAGAGGTACCTCGAAGTCAGAACTTTAGAGTTTAGATGTGTTTATCAATCTTTGGTTTTTCCAGAGTTGACTAAATTATGCAAGTCAGTATAGATACGACGGTCTTAACAGTATTGAGAAATTTATTTGGTTCTCACATTATTTCACTTTTTGTACGCAAGCATTCGAAATAAAAGTCGTACTATATTTGAAACTGATTATTTCGTTTAAAAGAAATCTTTACGAAAATATGTGGTTCACTTAAAAATTTGCAGTACAATAAGCACTCAGTCGGCTCCATGCGTTGCCGATTTACTGTTGTGTTGGTTTCCCTCATGACACCCGTTGTCATAACAACGTCGTTCCCTAGCACACTTAGCAGGGAAACAGATGGCGGTGCTATGCAGATACTTGTCTCTCCACTCATCCGCCCCTTCGCTTTTCTTCATCATGGCGAATGGTTTATTACTATTACTATTAGTTCTTTTGACCCTCTCTGTGGTGACTTCTGCAAAGATTGAACTAAACCAAACATCAGAAATCTTAAACAGGTTTGTCAGGATTTAATTTAATTCTCTGTCTTGACTCCTTTATTTCACAGTGTCAATTTTAAGAATGGTAATGGAACTGTGGTCGACGATTATTTAACCGTTTAGGCTTAGCACTTATTTCTGCCGCCTTCTCCAAATTGTGTAATTAGTAAGACTGTGATTTGTGTAATAGGTAGTAGCAGACGCAGATCAACAGGGTGTTATTCGAGGGTTTGATTTAATTGTAAACATAAGAACAACAGAGTAATGGTTTTGTGTTGTCAACAAGTCTCACTCTTTTTTCTTTCTCTCTCTCCATCAATTTTCCCTTCACTGAGACTGTTTTGGCACTTGAATTTTTACTAACCTGTTCGAAAAATTGTTATTTTTTAGAAATAAATACACAAATTTAAGGCTAAATGAGTGTTATCAATGATGTTTTATTTGCCATTAATTTTCTTTTTTTTTATAATGTGCCATTCTAAATATAGATATTTTCAAAAGTAAATTTAATAAGGTAAAATAAATTGAGATATACTGGGATAAGTTGTGAAGAAAAATAATTGTGCTTTCCGAAAGACTGACTGAAATAAGTAAAAAAATTACAACAGGATATTAAGAATAGAAATAATGAGATTATTTGGTGATTGAGCATTAATATTTTTAAATATATAAATTTTCATTTAAAATAAACAGTTTTCCTGTTTCATTTCTTACAGTAAATAAATTTGAAATTTCATCATGAAAACAGCATTTAACATATAATTCATAAATAATAAAGTCTCCCCAGTGGCACAGCAGTAAGTCTGCAGAGTTATGATGCTAGAAGCTATGTTTTAATACCTGTGGTGGGCACAGCACAGATAGCCCATTGTGTAGCTTTGTGTTTAACTACAAATGAACAAACTAATAATAAAGTATAAGAATTAAGAAACAATGTATTTTTTAAAAAATATCAGAGTTTGTTTTATTTCTCCTTATCATCATTTAAATAATGTAATTTTTGTATGGTGAGTATTCGTTACATATAAGCAGTTCTGCAGAGCACAGCTGACTTAACCCTAGAATTACTGATGGGTATGGACCCTACTAGATATTTAAACACTTTTTTCAAAACTGTTTATGTACTCTAATAACATACGAGTTACATAAAAAATATAAACAAAAACACAGTTAGAACTACAATGAATTACATTAATTATTGCTGGGTCCCTGATATATTTTACATAGAAATGACTAATTTCTTTCAAATGTTTTGATCAATTTTGTACAGTGACTCTTGTAACCAGGTTACTCAATATGATGGAGTATTTGGAGTTCACTGGTAGTGGATGGTATAAAGTCCACGCCGTAATTTGAGGTTAATTGCATCACGTACTACTACCCCATTCTGAAATTATTATCATTCATTTAAAGAATCATAAATGTAATGTGCAAGCTTAGAACATCTTAAAAAAAAAAACTGCCTTTAGTGAAACTTATACATGTGTTGTAGCTTTCACTGCAATGTAGCCTTTGCTCTTCAGGAAATCAAACATTTCCCAGCAAACGAGTAGTTTCATACATATATAAGCATATTTAAAAGTTAATTTTTTTAGTAATAAATTATTAGTTGTAGAGTGATTTATCATTATGATTATCATATATATTTAACTGTGTTTCATAATCGTGAGAAGTAAATAAAATCACACATGACAACTTTACACATGTAACTAGAAAAGCTGTCACAGCTTGTGACTTTAGAAAACCTTTTACAGCTTATGACTTGAAATACATTTATGCAGCATGTGATTTGAGATACATTTATGCAGCTTGTGACATTAGATAAGCTTACACAGCTTATGATATTAGATAAGCTTACACAGCTTATGACTTGAATACATTTATGCAGCATGTGATTTGAGATACATTTATGCAGCTTGTGACTTTAGATAAGCTTTAACAGCTTATGGCTTTAGGTAAACTTTCACAGCTTGTGACTTTAGATAAGCTTTTACAGCTTATGGCTTTAAGCTGTGTATGCTTATCTAACATCGTAAACTGTGTAAGCTTATCTAACATCGTAAGCTGTGTAAGCTTATCTAACATCGTAAGCTGTGTAAGCTTATCTAACATCGTAAGCTGTGTATGCTTATCTAACATCGTAAACTGTGTAAGCTTATCTAACATCGTAAACTGTGTAAGCTTATCTAATATCATAAGCTGTGTAAGCTTATCTAATGTCACAAGCTGTTAAAGCTTATCTAAAGTCACAAGCTGCATAAATGTATCTCAAGTCACAAGCTTATCAAGTTTATCTTACGATGTTAGATAAGCTTACACAGCTTACGATGTTAGATAAGCTTACAAAGCTTACGATATTAGATAAGCTTACACTTGTGACTTAAAATGAACTTGCCTAGTTTATTACTTTTGATAAGATTACACAGTTTATGACTTTTAGACATTCTAATTGAAACCTTATGATATAACATTATAAACATTATGTAGACTGCCTTTATCAATGTATTAAAATGCTATTAGAAAGTATGCTTCCAAATGAAAAACATTTCTAGAGATTTATTTACAGGTTCTTTAACTAATTTGTATATAAACAGTTTGGTAGTTATGCATGGTTTTGAATATGTACAGTACGTCTAGAAATGATATCCATCTGTGCAGTGCTGTTTTATTACATATTTTTCTAACTTATTTGATCCTCTGGTTACTCATGTTTCAGTTTTCCCGATTTTGAGGATGAAGATGGCAAACTTAGTGAAGGAATGTGCCAGGTGTATCGTAGTGCCACGTGCTCCAAGTTCCTTGCCAACAAGACAGTTTTTGTAGGCTCAATTCGTAGTCAGGGAATTATGGAGGAAAAATTAGCTGCAGCTTTTTCAGTGATTGCTTCTTCACAAGACGTGTCCTCAGAGTGCCATAAGTATGCCATTCCTTCTCTTTGCTTTTATGCTTTTCCACCTTGTGATAAGAATTCATCTACTCCTAAACCACGGCATGTTTGTCGGGACGAGTGTGAGGTGCTTGAGAATAGCATATGCCGATTAGAATACTCTATTGCTAAGCGACACCCACTAATTGGCCAGCAAAAAATTCTGCCAGCATGCGAAGACCTTCCACCATTTGGCTCGAAAGAAAGTGAAATGTGTGTGAGACTTGGAGTTCCCAACTCTATTAAAAAAAATGAGGGTAAGTTTTTAATTAGTGTGTTATTCTAATACCAGGTAAGCATTCTAAGTTTCAGAATTAAATAATTAATGCATTTATAAAATTATTTAAAAAGTCAGAAATATAATTTAACAGGTATTGCATTACAACACAGGTTTTTTCCTTATATTGTATTTCCAATCTTTTAGAAATTATTCTCCTGATTTTACCAGTAACTTAGTATGATATTAAAATTCTACTCCTGACTTTACCAGTAACTTAGTATGATATTAAAATTCTTCTCCTGACTTTACCAGTGACTTAGTATGATATTAAAATCATTCTCCTGACTTTACCAATAACTTAGTATGATATTAAAATCATTCTCCTGACTTTACCAGTAACTTAGTATGATATTAAAATCATTCTCCTGACTTTACCAGTAACTTAGTATGATATTAAAATCATTCTCCTGACTTTACCAGTAACTTAGTATGATATTAAAATCATTCTCCTGACTTTACCAGTAACTTAGTATGATATTAAAATCATTCTCCTGACTTTACCAGTAACTTAGTATGATATTAAAATTATTCTCCTGACTTTACCAGTAACTTAGTATGATATTAAAATCATTCTCCTGATTTTACCAGTAACTCAGTAACTTTGTATGATATTAAAAATCATTCTTCTGAATTTACTGGTAACTAAATAATTTTGTATAATATTACAAATTAAGAAAAAGGCTAGAATTTTTTTCCCCTTTGAAATATTTGCAATTGAGTTACAGAAACACTACACAATAGTGAATAAAACTAGGCTTGACATGTGATAATGTGATAAAATAATAAGGGACCTGTTGTTTATCTAGATTGTCCCATCCACAAAATTAAAGTATTAAAAACTCTAAACCAGTACTTATCATTCAAATATTCATCAAGCCTTCCCATAAACTTCCTTAAATTTACTGTATCTACCACATTTGAAGACAACGCATTCCAAAGGCCAACTACCCTGTTAGAAAAGTAAAACCAATAAGCCTACTTTATTGTTGCTATGGGATGAAGTGATTCTGTTTCATACTCTTTACTTGTGCTTCAGATATAATGTCAAACATAAAGAAACTAAGAGCTTTGGTTTTTGACTTAGAACACACATGTTATGTGGGAACGGGTGAAGATTATCAAGGAACGTTGTCCCGCACAGTATCTGGTCACAAATGCCAACACTGGAGCCATCAGATCTTTTATCGTACCTCGGACTATCCAGAGTTAATAGGTGGACATAACTATTGTCGTAACCCTGGTGGAATGGAAAATCAACCATGGTGTTTCATCGCAGACCCTCAGGTTCGGAAAGAGATGTGTCACATACCCAAGTGTGGTGAGTCTGACATTTTGTTAATTAAATATGGAGGGTTTATATACATGTCTTTTTGAAAAAGCTTAAATATAGTGTGAAAAGGGCTTGGAAACTTTTTATTTGTTAGGTTCTAATGTCCATTATTCACCTGTTATAAATGGATTGGATTTGTTATATTGATTTAAAATAATTTCCTGATTATTATTCAATCCAATGCATAATGAGTAAAAATAATAAACATTGGTTGTATATATTGGTCTATAAATATTAAAATTATACAATTTTACATATCTGAAAGCTCATAAGGCAACTTTCAGCTTAAATTTTATTAATAAACTAATTTAAATTGAAGTCACTACATGAAGGATTTACTTTTATTTTTTCCCAGCTAAGTAAGCTATAAAATAGTCTAAACAATTAAAAAACAATTATCATATATGTGTATGTTTGAAAGAGTGCTTTTATTTGTGTAATGTTTACTACAGTCATAAGATGTTAATACCATCTTTTGCAATTAATTTTTCTTTTAGTTGATTACCTTTGGCTGTATATCCTTCTTCCAAGCATAGTCCTAGTGGTACTTATTGGATTATTACTTGGGATCTGGTGCATGAAGCGAAGAAGTAAGCCAAATCCATCTGCAGTCAAACCTCCAAAGGCAGTTACCAGACCTCAGAATGAACAAGGGACCAATCAACAGGTTGAAATGAATGCTCTTTTACCCAGAACACAGTTCAGAGCTCATGAATATCCTCTCTCTAACATTCGCTTTCTTCAAGAGCTAGGAGAAGGGGCATTTGGAAAGGTGTATCATGGAGAGTTGGTAGGTATTCATGGAGTTGGAAGTGTCACACCTGTTGCTATCAAAACCTTGAAGGAAAATGCCACATTAAAAACTCGGCAAGACTTTCAACGTGAAGCAGAGCTAATGTCGGACTTGCACCATCCCAATATCGTCTGCTTGCTAGGGGCTTGCACACAAGAGGAGCCTCTCTGCATGTTATTTGAATATATGTCTCAGGGTGATCTTCATGAGTATTTGATCCTGCATTCCCCTCGTTCAGATGTGAGAATCAGCGAAGATGAACCGTATCAGATACTAGAACTGTCCGACTTTCTTCACATCACTCGGCAGATTGCAGGTGGGATGGAATACTTAGCTGGAAATCATTATGTTCATCGTGACTTAGCAGCTAGAAACTGCCTAGTTGGTGATGGACTTGTGGTCAAAATATCTGATTTTGGTCTGTCCCGAGATATCTATTCTTCTGATTATTACAGAGTTCAGTCCAAATCTTTGTTACCAGTTAGATGGATGCCACCAGAGTCTATCTTGTATGGGAAGTTCACAACAGAAAGTGATGTGTGGTCATTTGGAGTAGTTTTATGGGAAACATTTAGCTATGGACTCCAACCTTACTATGGGTACAATAACCAGGAGGTGATTGATATGATCCGCTCAAGAAAGCTGCTTCCGTGCCCTGAAGATTGTCCCCCACATATCTATGCCATGATGGTGGAATGCTGGCACGAGAACCCCTGTCGTAGGCCTTCCTTCAAGGAACTGTATGCCCGCTTGTGTTCGTGGCAAACAATGCATACACAGGCACTGAGTGTAGCACATTCAGGTAATGGTAGTCACCACAGCAGTGCAGGACCAAGCAACAATACTGTGTCTACCAACTTGAGCAGCCCTATTGTTGGGTCCTTTTACACCTTCTGTAGGTTTGGCCTCTACCAGTTGTGGAGTACCATTTCAAAGAGCTGTTAATGTTCCTGTAGCCGGTCCAATTCAGCAAGCATGTTTTCCTACTTCAGTAGAAGGTTTCCCAACGTTTCATCCAGTGAGGTCTGGCACTCCAGTCCTGAGACCTGTAGACTCTCTATCACGTTATACTCCTCCTAATGTCACGATTATTGACGGAAAAGTGTCAAATGTTTAATCGATTTGCTGATGTACAGTACACATGGTTTTGAAATTTCTATGGAACTAACATCTGATAAATGACCTCAGACTGGACAGGGCACAATGATTTAAACTTAGAAACCAGTAGACTGTCTGGTGAAATTTATGTGTTTGAAAAATCATTGGTGCCTTGTAAAATTTCAATCTTGTTGATATGTAACAGGACATCTAATTGAACTTGTGATCGAGTATTACAACAATGATGACAGTAATATCTAGTACAAGATGCAAAAAGATCATTAAGAAAGTTAACCAAAAAAAAGAAATATGTCAGGGTCATTACTATGAAAGGGAAAGTATTTAAAAAAAATTTTTTATTCAGAAAATGAATAGAATGTTTGCTGTATTATGACCGATTTTTTGTGGAAGGCTGTGTCATTAAGTGTACACGTACTTGTGTTGGTGTCGTTTCTTGAAATACACCACAGACTGTTAAAATTAAGTCTGAAAATTTTGGCTTTGAGTCAGTAACACAGAAAATCCATATGTACAGCTTTTACCTTCAATTTCAGTTAATTTTATATTAATATTTGTTGTGCAGATTGCCTCTCGTAGAGTTTTATACGCTTTACTTTTCTCATAAACAGGTGATCTGAAGGATGGTTTTATAAAAGTATTATACATCATGCTGTTGTTTTTCTTGATATTTTTGTTTCTATTTTGTGGAAGAAGATATCTTTTCTCCTTCTTCACTAATCGCAGGCACGGATTAGGAGTGTGTGTGATCAGTCTTGTCTCCTTCAGTAATCAGAGATGTGGGTTAGGAGTGTGTGTGATCAGTTTTGTTTCCTTCAGTAATCAGAGATGTGGGTTAGGAGTGTGTGTGATCAGTCTTGTCTCCTTCACTAATCAGAGACTTGGTTAGGAGTGTGTGTGGTCAGTCTTGTCTTCTTCACTAATCAGAGACATGGGTTAGAAGTGTGTGTGGTCAGTCTTGTCTCCTTCTTCACTAATCAGAGACATGGGTTAGGAGTGTGTGTGGTCAGTCTTGTCTCCTTCTTCACTAATCAGAGACATGGGTTAGGAGTGTGTGTGGTCAGTCTTGTCTCCTTCTTCACTAATCAGAGGCATGGGTTAAGAATGTGTGGTCAGTCTTATCTGCTTCACTAATCAGAGACTTGGTTAGGAGCATGTGATTATTCTTGTCTCCTTCACTAATAAGACATAGTTTAGGAGTGTGTGGTTAGTCTTGTCTGCATGACTAATCAGAAACACAGTGATCAGGTGATAAGTAATTTCTTTCAAGTGTTTAATACTTTAATGTAACAAATGGTACATAAAGAATATTTATTTCCCACAGTTACATGATAAAATCTGTCAGTTAAACTCCTTGTTTCTTTAAACAGATTTAAAACTGATATTGTGAAATATTTTTACCATCACATGCAGTATATGAAATCAGTGTAAGTACTAAAAGAATGATTAACGTACTCTTCAGACAAACAGGTCAACTGTTGATGAAGAAGCTAGTTTACTATTAATGCAGAAATAATTTTAAGGCATAGATTCAGGCTATGCAGCTTAGTGACACCTAAGGTATATTAGCAGACTTCACTTACCTGTATTAAGAAAAGTATAATTAGTAAGGCCAGGTCCTTCATAATACCAAAAATTAACTTTTCATTCTGCCCCTTTAAAACTACTGGTTATAAAAAAATTAAAAGAAACTTGAAAATAATCTCCCTTTTTAGGTGCATAGTGGAGGGTAAAATGCTTCATTTTCTTCTCACAGGACGTTATCGGTCTGCTGGAAAGAAATACCTGATAAATTTGAAACCAAATATTAACAGCTATTAAAACATACGGCATTTAACAACTGTTGATTAAAGGTGGACAACTTTTCCTTCGTGAGATGTGTAACAACTGTTGATTAATTGTAGACAACTTTTCCATCATGAGACATATCTAACAATTGTTGATTAATGGTGGACAACTCTCTCTCTCTCGTCAGACATTTAACAACTGTTGATTAATTGTAGACAGCTTTTCCCTGTGAGACATATCTAACAATTGTTGATTAAAGGTAGATAACTCTCTCTCTCGTCAGACATTTAACAACTGTTGATTAATTGTAGACAGCTTTTCCCTCGTGAGACATATCTAACAATTGTTGATTAAAGGTAGATAACTCTCTCTCTCTCTCTCTCGTCAGACATTTAACAACTGTTGATTAATTGTAGACAGCTTTCCCCTCATGAGACATTTCTAACAACTGTTGATTAATGGTGGACAACTTTTCCCTCGTGAGATGTGTAACAACTGTTGATTAATTTAGACAGCTTTCCACTCGTGAGACATATCTAACAACTGTTGATTAATGATGGACAACTCTCTCCCTAGTTAGCTATATATTACTGGTGGATAACTCTCTTGTTAGACAGCTATATATTAATGGTGGATAACTCTCTCTCTCTCATTAGACAGTTATATATTAATGATGGATGACTCTCTCCCTCGTTAGACAGTTATCCACCATTAATATATAGCTCTCGTCAGATAGCATCTTCATCAGATATGTACTATACCCAAAACTGCTGTTTAGGATGATTTTCGTTACTTGTTTAGGGCCATTTCAAAACTTTGCTCTGAGAAAAAATAATCGTAAAAAATATTACCAGCTGCAGAATGAGAGAACTCATCCATTTTGTGGCATACTGAATATTTAAAAGATTATTGCTCATTCTGTAAACATTGTTTTGGAAGCTGTATGTTATAAAGTCATTACAAATTATCCATTTTGTATAATGTTGATTTATACGTGGCTTTTGAATTTATTTTAACCAGTAGCTACAAGTCACGTAAATAGTTGAAGTAAAAATACCATATCTGAGATTTTAATAACGTACCTGTGTTGTAAAGATGTTAATGTTTGGGTTTTACAATTTTGCTTTCCTGCAATTATAAGATTTTAACATTTGATGCCATCTTTCAGTGAGTTTTAAGCTTTATGGATGCATTATTACAAAGAGATTACAAAATGATATAAAGCACTAAACATTTGAAATGGAATATTCTTTTTTGGTTGAAGGAACTTAATATACTTCTGATGCAAAAAAAAAAGAGATCATCGTTTGAGACCTTGAATTTTGAGATACGTTTTTTTAGACTTATATAGCTCTAATGTTTATGCTATTTATGTTTTTTTTTTATTTTCTGATAACTTATTGATTTTTGAAAAGTATTCCGAGTGTATATTATCTGTCATTAATGATCTTAGAAGTATAGTTAATTTACTTTAATTTTAAGTAGAACAAGCATGAAGGAAAATCACTTAAGATTTTATTTTCTATCGTGTAGGCAGCCTTAAATGCTAATTCTTAATCCCTGGTATCCGGCTTGTGTAAATCTGCTTACTACCCCATGCGTAAAGATTCGCGAATTTTTGCGGAGAGCCATTCAGAATGTTGCGCGCAAAATGCTTGCATTTTATGATGCCAACCGCATTTGAAGGGTTTATATATTTGTTAAATTACTTGTGTAAAAGCATAGCTTATTTCACTATTATGAATTGTAAAAAAAATGTGTTTATTCTTCAGTGTCTTTCGTAACAACAAATTATCGTAATGGTGATTTCATATCGATATTCATTGAACGTTATCAAGGAATCTTGATATACGTTTCACCACATTTGATGTGTAGTGTATTTACAATTTTCTAGTATGTGAAATGTAAACATCTTGTTTATACTACACAGTCTAGTATTTTTTGTTGCCTAAACACCACTACGTGACGTAAGTGATAGTTTTGTATCAGAAAACCAACATTTAAAGAAAAAAAAATCCAATAGCATCCATCCTGTTTTGACTATTCCAAAATCAGTTTAGTAACTAATATTTGATTTCATGAATTATCTGTTTCTTTGTCTCGTAAATGCCAAGAGTTACAACAGTGGTATATCAATTTATAACAGTGATACTGGTTTACATTAGTGTTTCATTGGTTTACAACAATGATATTGGTTTAAAATATTGTTATATTGGTTTACTACTGTCACGCCTGTTTACAACAATCGTATATCAGTTTTGTAACAGTTGCAACAAAGCTTGTTGGCTTACCTCGCTATGAGGCGAAGAATTACATATAAATATATCAAAAAGCTATTTTAATAATGTTATTTGATAAACACTTAGGATAAGAGTAAATTTATAAACCATGTTGAATAAAGTATTAAATCAATAACTCTTTCTCCAATTACATTTTTCAATGTTAATACATGTTAGTGTTAACTTACATTTATCACAGACTTGCCAACTTTATTTAGTTTTGAGCTGATTATTTCTTTATCTAACTGGTCAAACGCAAGACGAGTGTCATAGCATATTTACATTATTCGTACGAAAGACGCCATTACTTCAGCTCTTATATCTGGTAATTTTGTTTGCAATGAAAGCTCTTGTACATACATTGTCATAGTTAAGATATGTCATTACAATGCGCCATCTTGGAACGAAGTGTTGCTGTTTCTGTGGATGTATTAACTGGAAAATTTCAATACCTTCTCTCTCTCTGGAATGTGACTAGTCAGTCTATCCAAGGTATGCCAAAGGATTTTCAGTTTTGTAAAAAGCATTTTTTATTTTATATGTCAATAAAGTTTTAAAGTTGAAAGTAACGGTTTATGTCTGGATTGTTTTAATAATTTTATGAAACTTCTACAGTGTAGTATAAGCTTCAAGTTTAAATTATTGATTGTTACAGGCTAGTGGAAAAACCCACTGTTTATAACCACGATGTCAAACGGGTCAGAATTATGCGCCAAATAATAATAACGTTAACAGTACATAAAACTTAAAAACCCATTTTACTTATACAGATGAAAGTCGTTACGTTCTATTATGTCGTGTGTGGTAGATCTTGCTAAGTGAAATATTTGTTTTTAACATGAAATAATATAATACATTCAGTTTAGAATGAGCGACATCTAGTGGTATTAAGCAGAGATTTGTTGTGATATTTTTTATCGCATCGTGATTTCTCATCTCGTTCACTTTCGATTAACAACAAATAATATGCTAGAAACTTGCTTTAGACTAAGTCAGGTCTTGAATAAAAAATAAGATATTATGATACGTGTGATACCAACGAAGAAACGACATGGTGAGCTGAGATGTTATTTTTATTTCAACAGAATCGTCAAATAACAGCAAGTCACTGACGTTCATTCCTACGGTGTTAAATGTTTATGACACCGAACGTAGCGAGCATTGTTGTGAAAACCAATTCTTGCATTTACGAAAATGAAAACAATTCATCAAAATTCATGTTCACAGTTTGCTGCCATCTGTTGAATTTTCTAAACAAAATCTGGAGTTTAAATTCTAATAAGATTAAGAAGTATCTAACATATATTACTTGTTATATATTTAATAATGATATACACAATTTATCGGCACCGATGGCGCGATATTGCATTCTCAACCCAAGCCAGCGAAATTTCTCAAAGCCAGATATTCAAGCAATGCGTTAGGCTATGAGATATAGATTCACGTTCAAATATTTAATTTTGTTGTTTATAACTAGTCAAGCGAGAAAGTAACCATATACTAGTTACAGAAACATTCTTGGCAGTACTACGTTATGGTTGTCTTTAATAATGAGCATACTTTTTTAATTATATTTATCATAATACATTAGTATTAGGCCTAGGTGAATGACATTGCATGGTTTATATGCTACAAATATTATACACTCTTTCCGTTCTTGAAAAATAATGATAGATTAAAAAAATGTAGTGTTAAAAAATGTGATAAGCCTAATATTAATATCGTATGACAAGTATAATTATAAATCGCCAGCTTAGAAAGAGCAATCACACCATAAAGATAATTATTACATTTCAAGAAACAGGATTAATGCGCGCATGTGTTATATATATATATATATATATAATTATAATAGTTCTGTCTGTTGTATGTCCATGTATGCTATTGTCACTACTTCGCAGGTTGTGGATAGATCTTTACCAAAATTGATATGGAGGTTCATGGGGAAATACATACAAATTCTCAGTCTTGCATTTTGTAGTTTTTATGGCCGTTTTTGCGTTTTTTACCACAACTTCGCCCCCTATTGATGGATCTTCACCAAATTTGGCATGAAGGTTTGTTGGGTCTATGCGGAGATACATGCAAATTTGCGGTTTCACATTTTGTGTTTTGCAGTTTTTATAGGCGTTTTTGCAATTACATATAAGGGAAACAACTTTTCATGTCCTAAGATGACCTTTCATTAATTATGAATTTACAGAATTTCCGTCCAGGAGACTGGTACTCCAGCTACAAGGCATTGAAATTAATAAATTAAAAACATTCAGAGTAATGTACGAATGATATTTAAAAAAAAGCCTAAAATGTCATTATTAAATACCTTATAATCATTATATACCTAAAATTTAATATGATTTGTTGTCGCTTGCATGTTTATAATAGTTCTTAAAAAACGTGTACGATTCTAATGGTAGGTAGAAACTGAAAGACAAATACAGTTCTTTCCGAAGTATTCCAGTAAACGAAATTTCGTTGTACTCGAGACCAAGATAAGTAATATAATACAGAGATGTTAATATACTTACATATGTAACTATTTGAGTGACATGTACGTGTTAACTATGTATATATATAATGTTCGCAAGATGAAAGTATTGTATTTATATAACTCTCGGATATTATTAGCAATTTGACAGTATATATATTAATAATTTTTCAGAACTGCACAGTTGGCCTGTTTTATTTTATTGTTTATTTTGAGACATGTTTTATACAGTAGCGAAACCACACAAACTAAAGCCGAAATGTGCAGGCTAACACGGCTGTACAATTTTATTTTTAAGAGGTATCCATTTAATTACTGTAAACGTACATATAGTTCTTCAAATAGCTGTTGGTGGAAATATTATATATTTATTTTGTGAGTACAACGTTTCGTCTAAAAGTGCGACATGAACACTAATAATATTGTTATTGCAACTGGAACAAGCAGGAAGATGGATATAAAAAGGGTGCCATGTTTATTATTATTATTTTAACTTACCATTGATGAACACTAATAATATTGTTATTGCAACTGGAACAAGCAGGAAGATGGATATAAAAAGGGTGCCATGTTTATTATTATTATTTTAACTTACCATTGTATCTTTACAGGGTTTGCTCTGTTATATAATACCTCTTCCCCTTCCCAGTGGTTCAGCGGTAAATGTGAGGGCTTATAACGCTAAAAATCGTGGTTTGTTATCCGCTGTGGGCACAACACAGATAGCTTTGTGCTTAATAACAAGTATAACTTAACTCACTTTTTATAGCACACACATATATATAACTGATCCCTTGGCTGATTCAATACATACAAAATGTTTTCATTGGATCTAACGTTGCCAAGTCCTCGGTTTTATCCCATAGAATTGGGCTACTAGAAGAGATAGCTGTGGGAATTATCGAGGACGCTATTTTGGGCTATTTTTAACAGGTATATTCGTAGAGTGTATTTTAGTTTGCAGTTTTCCTCTGTATCCAATTGTTTATGATATACCAGTCTTAATGGTTTAGTAAAGGTATCGAAATGTTTCTTGCTTGAATTTCACGTGAAGCTACTAGAAGTCTATGTGCGATAGCCGTCCTTAATTTTAACTGATAGACCAGAGGGAAGGCAACTAGTCAACACTACCTACCGCCAACTCGTGCGCTACTCTTAATTTAATACCGGAATTTCGTGCACCACTCTTATAACGCAATCCCCACCCCAAACTTGGGGCGCGATTCTTTGTTGCTTTATGGCGGTAACGGGAGGGGAGGGGAGAAAGCCACGGATCCCCAAAATTGGGCTGGTTTTGGGGTAAATATGGGCAATAAAAAGTACAGAAATCTGGAAACATTGCATCAAATTAATCAAATGAAGACGCGTTTAGAACAGACGGGACACCATCATGTTGATTTTCTCGAATTTTAGGTAAAAGGTAGGTACATAATTCGCCATCTTGTTCTTTCAAGTTAGTTACATATTCGCCATCTTGTTCTTTCAAGTTAGTTACATAATTTACCGTCTTGTTCTTTTAAGTTAGTTACATAATTTACCGTCTTGTTCTTTTAAGTTAGTTACATAATTCGCCATTTTGTTCTTTCAAGTTAGTTACATATTCGCCATCTTGTTCTTTTAAGTTAGTTACATAATTTACCGTCTTGTTCTTTTAAGTTAGTTACATAATTCGCCATCTCGTTCTTTCACTGAGTGATAAAAAAACACATATATAGAGATATAAGTATTCCATCTTTGCTTGCCACATATTCTGTATTTATATAGTGGCAAAATAATTCTTAGTAACAATTCTAATTAACAAAATTGTTTTTATCATTATTTAATTAAACTGAAATAAGATGACAAAAGCAACGTAAATTGAGAACATGTTTTACAAGTAATGTACCCATCGACAAGGTTTAAGTAGTGTGTAATTTTGACAAAACACGACAGTATCGGGGTGATTTTCTTGAGCATAATCATATGTTCTAATTTCTCAATTGTTAAGTCTGACAGAGAAATGGATTATTGGCGATTAAAAGTCACAACATGGGCTAGTGAATTATCAAATGACGAACCAATGAACCGAGTTTCACCAATTTATGTTTTCATTGTTTTACTGCGGACTTTCGTCCCTCACACTGGAACCTTCTGAACAATACTGGCCGGGAGTGGCCTGTTGGTTTAAAGTGCCGGGCCTGTGAATTAAAGGTCCGAGGCACGATATCACTGAACACGCTTAGTACTTTCGGTTGTGAATGCATTAAAAGAAAGAAAAATCCAATATTCGATTCTAAGATCCGGACATAACCCTTGTGACTACAGGTGCTGCTACACTAAATACTCTCTCCCTAGTCAGTAGTTTAAAATTAGACACGGCTATACCTGAATCCCTGGGGGGGGGGGTCTCTGATCTGGCAGTTTAGCCCTTGTGCACATGAGGTGCCAGTAAGGCTGAAAATACTAATACCCGAACAATATTTCTACGTTACTCAGTTGACCGTTGACGACTCGCAATGAAAAGAAAACAAGTCCTAAGCTGGTGAAAAGTCCTATCATATACTTAATCAGAGAATAATTATCATACTTACTAATTTCAATGGCTATGAGTACACCTAAATCTAGATGGAGATGAAAGTAAGTGATTAGTCTGGAGAGCAGCTGACTTATCGACAAAAATAGCATTGTAATGCATAGAAAGAAACCAGTATCATTAGAGTCATTCTTCAAACAATAAATTATCATGACTATTAAAGATTTATAACATCAACTAATAAATATTAATTTCCAAGAACTGTAATTCACGCATTCCAAGTGCAACCTTTTTATTCGTTTCTTAAACTGGTGATCGCGATGTTTTCACCCGTTTTGTTTTTGTCTACGTTCTATAACTAGTGATGCTACCCCGTAATAAGCCAGAGTAGGTATTCTTAAAAACTCTCAATATCTAACAACTATATTAACATTTCTATGATAAGTTCTCTAGCAGATTAGACTTTGGTGTATAAATTAGTGTAAAGAGATAACAAGTTGCGAATTCTTCCAACAGGAAGGAGTTTGGTCCTCTGTTAAACAACCTAAAGGCATCCTTGTTAAAGAGGGGGGTTGTTGCACCCCGTTTTGTTAATGGGGGGAGTTGTGTTTTGTTTTCCTCCCATTGTCATTTGTATAGTGCTACCCAGAGATTTCAGAACAATATGTTTGAAACCAATGTAATTATCTATTCCATTCGAAAATGTTCTGGGTTTTTGAATCTTTTTAATGTTTTCGAAGTCTTTTGCAAGAATTTTAGCTTTTCTTCGAGTTCTTTGTTATACTGCAAAGCTTGTCTCAAAATATTTCGGAGTTCTTGTTCGGATGTTTTCCATCTATTAATGATTTCTTCTTTTGTCATGGAATATAACTTCAGTTCTTCTATTCGTTCTCTTGAAAATATCTTTGTTTTAAATCTTTTACGTCTGGAAAAAGCACTGTTTAAATTTCTTTGTTTCTTACGAGCCTCAAAATCTATGTCGGCCAGAAACGCTTTTTTTTCAAAGGTCCTCAAATCGGAAAACGACCAGGCCCGCGATGGTTCAGCAAGGCCTGGATGTCTTTTGTCACTTGAATTGTCCTGGACAGCAGGAGGTGGGAGTTCATTAAAACTAGTGCTAAATATGCGCTTGGCTGTCTTTGGTAAGGATGAAGTTGTGCTGTCGGAAGAACAAGAGGATGATGGATACGGTGGTACATCTTGATGGGGAGGAAGAAGACGTTCCAGTCTTCTCTGCGAATTGTCGAATAGAATAGTACCACTGTTGAGTGACAGTGTGTTAGGTCTTAGGTTTCTGGAAAGTTTTCTCGTTGGAGCAACAGAAAAATCTTTATCAATGTTGGCTTCCATTACCGTTTCCACATCAACGTTGTCAATCGAAGCTAATGTTCGTTTTTCTTGTTCTTCTTGGACACTAGAAAAAGTTTATAAAATATTTTGCATCAGTTTTTACAGCGAAGTCCTTATAATGAATATACAGATTATTTATGTTTTGGATAACTTTGATGTTTAAGGTTATAGTTAAATCCACATTCTGAATGTTCATAATACCAGTACTTGAACTGTTTTCATGATTTAGTTTTCAATCAACAGCTAGCTCCAGTTATGAATACAGTTTAGTGTTTATTTATTTCTGCATGACTTATTAGCCACAACGAATGACATTAATTTGTTTAAATATTAACACCTTTTGTATCAGACGTTTTTATTTTTTGGAATTAAAAATGTCAGATTTTTTATTTCGTTTTTCATAGCATGTACTTATATGTTATTGAAACAAGAGTTCTTTCGTGATCCGTTATTATATTTTTGCACAAAATATACTCGATAAATAAAGGTTACATACCTGGATTTATAAGTGATATATATTATTGCAATGAAACTACAGTAAAGAATAGGAATGCTTTTTTGCTGTTTTTATTATACATAATTCAGAATAAATCCGATAGAGAACAGTACATCTAGCGAGCACTAATTGTAATACATAACGTGCCAATAAATTCGGGCAAATACTAAAACAATACGACAAGAAATAATTTGCCCGAATTAAATCGGGCAAATACTTTTTTGTTTTTGAATTTCGCGCAAGGCTACACGAGGGCTATCTGCGCTAGCCGTCCCTAATTTAGCAGTGTAAGACTAGAGGGAAGGCAGATAGTCATCACCACCCACCGCCAACTCTTGGGCTACTCTTTTATCAACGAATAGTGGAATTGACCGTCACATTATAACGCCCCCACGGCTGAAAGGGCGAGCATGTTTGGTGGTACGGGGATTCGAACCCGCGACCCTCAGATTGCGAGTCGAGTGCCCTAACCACTTAGCCATGCCGGGCCAATACTTTTTTGAAACATGGAGAGCACCCGAGTTATCTCGGGCAAATGACGAGTAGAAAGTATGTTTTTTAAACATAAATCTGAGACTTAGTTCAGCTCGACAGTTTAACAGCACAAAACAACTCAACTAATAATAAAACCGTTTATTACTCTTACAAATATTTAACGTGAAAGGTTAGTAAGGTCTTTTTATTTCAAAGCAAGTAGTGAAATAATCGTTCTTATTCATCAAATATTGTGAACCTATAAGTTTACACGATGATCTGTAAATAATTCATTTTTTTAAGGTAGACTAAATATTTCTCTTAGCCCACATCTGCATCAATACAGTTTACAGTTGCAGGTGTTATAAAGCAAGCACTGTTGGCTTCATAGTTACGTACGTTCAGTATTGTTCAGTTGAGACCAACATTGTTACAACGAGAATAGGAAATGAGTTACATCTAACTCTAATAACTTTTAACATTATTGTATTTTTTACATGTAGCGCCTTATTGTAATCTATAGAAATATGACAGTACTGTCCATGTAACTACTTCTATGTGGACATACAACAGACAGTACTATTATATTTACATAGAAGTAGTTTAATGGACATACAACAGACAGTACTATTATATTTAACATACAACAGACAGTACTATTATATTTACATAGAAGTAGTTACATGGACATACAACAGACAGTACTATTATATTTACATAGAAGTAGTTCAAAATATAATAGTACTGTCTGTTGTATGTCCATGTAACTACTTCTATGTAAATATAATAGTACTGTTTGTTGTATGTCCATGTAACTACTTCTATGTAAATATAATAGTACTGTTAGTTGTATTTCCATGTAACTACTTCTATGTAAATATAATAGTACTGTCTGTTGTATGTCCATGTAACTACTTCTATACTTGGGAATGGATATATTACACAAACACACACTTAGGTGGCAATATTCTTGGTTTTATTCATAAACAAGCAAAATTTGTCATCCCAAGTGAAAATTTATAGTTAATCTATCAATCTAAATTATTTAATGTACTTTAGAAAGGTTAATTGTTTTCACTCATAACCAAATCTCTGAGCTACTTATGGCGCCTACCGAGAAAAGTAATTGTTGAACATTTCAGTCATGCTAAGAACCGTTCAACAATATCATACAGTAAACCTACATTTTTATTGTTTAAATTACGTGACGTTTTGAAATGTGAACGATAGTGTGATTAATTCCTAACAATTTAGTGCAGAATATCCCGATTGTGAAATAAAATTTATCATAACCATTATTCATGCCTTTTCTCCCGTCATTTGAAAAGTGAATGTTGAGCTTTGCGTGCGTGAGCAGCTTTTCAAACACAGTGCAGGAAGTAGCTGCAGTAAATGGGAGACAGACAAACGCTCGGACAGGCACCACGATTCGCAATATATATATATATATAGTGTTACGTCTCCGTTTGTTAATTGATTTTCCGTAAATTCGTTCCGACGAAACTTTAGCGACA